TTTTTTTTTTTTTTTCTTTTTTTGGATGTGCAGTTGTCAATGGACTGAGAAGTCAATTGTGGGTATCAGACTGTTTTACCTTCCCAAGGTAGCCTGAGAAATTTAACTTGATGTGGGTTTTTAAGCTTCTGTTAGTAGCAGCAGTTGTAAAAAAAAAAGTAACTTTAAATCTTTCTTCTTTTTTTTTCAGTACTTAGCATTGGGGGGGGGTTGTGTGTGCGTGTCTGTATGTGCTTATTTGCCACTTTTTTTAGTATATCTCTATATATTTAAACTTGAACAGTATCTAACACTCAGGGTTTCCCATGCACTAATTTTAACAGCCTCACCTAGTATTGCCGATGTCAAACGCTCACAAACAAATCGACAGAAAATGTTAAAAATGGACTCCGGACACCTTTTGGGGTTTTTTTTGTTTCTTTTTTTTTTCTTTTGAAACTTAACTTTTTTGAAAAGGATGTCTCCAGAAAAAGAAAGAAAAAAAGAAAAAAAAAACCACAACCCAAAAAACCAAACAAAACCAAACCAGTGTGTACAGTCTAACCGGCGTGTGTGGGGAGCGTGCTGCCTCCCCGCAGCTCGGCGCTGACCTCCCTTTTGTGTCCCCGCAGCCGTTCATGTCGCCGCGCTACGCCGGAGGTCCCCGGCCCCCCATCAGGATGGGCAACCAGGTACTGCGCTCCCGGGCTCCGTGCCGGCGGGTTTCCTGGGGATGGCTTTTATTTGGGGAGGGGAACAAGAGCCACGCGTCCTGCAGGTGCTCCTTGGCGTGGGTGCCGAGCATCGCCTCCCTCGGGCACCCTCTGTTTTCTTGGTGCTGGAGCAACGAGCATCACATAACCATTTTATTTCAATTTTTTTTTGAGGTTCGGGCATATCCAGGGTGTAAATGGCGGTGGGGCGTGTGCCACTTTTTATTTGTGGTGGTTTCAGCGCGGCTGTGTCGTGCTGCGGGCTCGCTGCCCGGCTGGATTTTCCCTGCAATCGCAGAAAATTAAAGTGATGGAGATAATCCCGCCGCTGGGTTGACCGAGCGCTTAGATCAGCGGCGGGGTCAAGCGGGGCAGGTCACTGCTGAATTTTTTGGGTTGGGTTTATCCTCTTATCCCAGCTTAAACAAGGGCAGTTTGTTTCTGGCTTTACGGATGGAGGCTTCCACCCCACGCGCTGCCTGAACGCGTGGCCTGTGGTTGAGGAATTCTTCCCGTTCCCAGTGACGCCGTGCAGATCCACGGGGCAGTGACTGAACCGGAGGTCGCTTGTCGTTAAAGGGAAATTAAAGGAAACCTGTAATTCCTTTGACTAGCAAAGGAGACTGTGCATAGATTGTCTTGGGAGCTTGTTTTTTGGCTAACGGTATTATTTCTGAATAGCTCTTGTTAGCAGAAAGGGCAGAATAGTCAGGAAATGGGGTGTAGCAGCTCGCTTCGTGTTTGTGATTGCCAGATTTGAGGCTTGCATCGCCGGAGCTTGCAAAGTGATGGTGAGACAGCTGAGGTGTAGCTGAGAAAAACTCAAGGGGGACTGAGGTAGGACCCCCAAGCCCGGCTGGGCTGGAAGAGCCTCCCACCAGGGTGCTGGTGGCTGTTCTGGCGAGGTATTAATTAACTGCACCTCCTCACGGGACAGTTTTAGTGGGACCCCGTCCTGCTGTGGCCCCAGGCTGGTCCCGAGCGCTGCTGGAGGTGAGCACGGCAGCTGGGGCAGGAGAGGCAGGGGACTGGTTTGGGGTGGCTGCTCTTGCAGCGGGGTCAAACATCCAGGAACGGGTTAAGTTAATTGGAAGAATTTAATCCCCTCCCCAACACCACGTATAAAAGACAGGTTTGTACCTACCCAGAGCCCGGCGAGGTTACGGTCACATCCAGAGGGACGAGAGGAATGAATAGGTAGGCAGGAAGGTCAGGCAGCAGAAGTGTAAATATCCATTGATACAGCCCCCCTGGTTTATCTGCCTCCTGCTGCCGGCTTCCAAGCTGCAAAAAAATTGGGATTAGGCAGTTCCTGCCTCGGCGCGGCCGGGCGCACCCGGTGCCCGCGCTGTGCTCCAGCCGTGGGATCTGTCGCGTGTTCAAATAAAAGGCAGCGTGGTAGCAAAACTGTTTACAGTTTGCTTCCCCCAGGCAGATGGCATCTGCGTTTTTCTCCGCCGTTATCTGTTCGGCGCAGCCTTTGAACTTTAAATAGCCGCGCTGCCCGCGCGGAGCTGGGTTTGGGGAGGGGGAGCATCCACCATCCCCTCCCGCCTGCCTGCGGACAGGTCTGAACGCTGGTCTGCTGCACATGGAGCACCTTCCCGTCGAAGAACCGCTGCCGCCTGCACGGTTTGGCCCTGGCGCTGTGTCAATACCGGGGAGCCGCGCTGCCCGTCTCCTTTCCCTGCCGGCTTTGACGCCCCTGCCCCGCGCTGCCCGGGCTTTCCCCCGCTCCCCTAAAATACGGCAGCCTGACGGCGCGTGGGCTCTGGGGAGAGGAGGGGACGCTGGCGCCTGGTTTGGTTTTTAGAGGGTGTTTGCGAAAGGAAAGGGGAGGCAAACGCTCGGAGGCTGTGGGAAGAGGCCCGGGATGCAGCGGGATGCGGGATGCTCGGGCGGCCGCAGGTCGTGCTGCGGCAGGAAGGGTGGTGCGTCCCGGGGAGCGCACCAAGGAGCCTCCCGAAAGCCTGAAGCCTCAACCCAAATCTATCTCTGTAGGCTGCGTTTTAGCAAGCATTGTTGTTTTTTCATCTCCCTCCTCTTGTTTTCACAGCCCCCGGGCGCCGTTCCCGGTACACAGCCATTGCTGCCCAACTCAATGGATCCCACGCGACAGCAAGGTAAACCCAGCGGAGGAGGGTTGAACGTTAACCCCTCTCGTTAGCTGTTCGTTTGGGACCTGAAGTGGCTGCTGCGTTTTTGCTGCGCTCTGTAACGCCCCTGCTTTCCTCCCAACAGGGCACCCTAACATGGGCGGCCCCATGCAAAGGATGAATCCTCCGCGAGGGATGGGCCCCATGGGTCCCGGTCCGCAGGTAAGCCCGGCGCCAAAGAGCATCTGACGGCTCGGCAAACGCCACACACCGTCGAAACAACCTCCTGGGGCTCCGAGGGCTGGGAGTTTCCCCCACGCACGCCCTGTCCCCCCATTAGCGTTAATGCATTTTGCATTAGTCTTGCATCTGGAGATCCCTCCTTTTAAACACGAGCGAGGTCTGCAGAGCTCATTAAGGGTACTGCAGCCTCCCTCCTGCCCTTCCGTCAAAGGGGATGGCACTTAGTGCCGTGCCGGAGCGGCCTCCGAGTGCATTACGCTGCCTGCCTGGGAAGTAGTTACGACCCTAACAGCAGGGAGAAGGAGGGAAAGGAGGCCTGCATTTAAAATAAATAAAAAGAAATGGCAAAGATCCCTTTAGCAGGGGAATAAGGCTTTCCTCTGCGAGCCTCCCCTCCGCCTGTCCTTCCTGCTGCCTGCTTCAGCTCTCTATTTCAGGGAAGGGGAGTAAACTCCTGAAATTAAGCAGATCTGGGTTAATATATGCTGTCTTTCCATTGATTCACTTTACGGAGTGGCTTGTTGTTGACTCACTCCTGTTTGTTCCTTCTGCGAGACTTCAAAACCAGATTACCATATTTTGGTTGGAGGTTTATCCTCTCTGCATCGTCGCCTACGTTGAGTTTGTAGCGTGAGGATCAGAGTCTGTCAAGAGACAAGCGGGTGCGCTGGAGTTTTGTTTTGTTTTTCCCCTGGAGACTGTTGAGATAAGCGGATATTGTGTAAAGAGGGAGTTGTGTCATCTCTTTTTAACACCAGCCTGAGGATGCTGCTCAGGGATGCCCGGCCGTCTCCTCAGGAACCTGGATTCACCCTAGGGCAGAGGATGAAAAACCTGCGTGAGCACCCTTTCACGGACAGCCCTCCAATAGCAAAGCCAGGGATGCTCTGAGTGCTGCTGCTCTGCTTAAAATTTTCCTTTCCTGGAGGATTGCACCCAAAAAAAAATGGCATTTGTTAGCGTGGCCTGCGCCAAGGAGAGCAGCGGCCGTTTGCCTGGGGGAGGCTGCTCGCTTCCCGCTTGCAAAGCTCGCCGCAAAACTTGGAAGCCGCGAGCGTGCGTTCAGCGCCGCGTGGGATGGCAGCGGCTCCGGGAGCCGGCAGGAGTTGTGAAATGTTCAGAGCTTTATTTTTGACTCCGCCGTTCCCTGTGTACCTACATTAGGGAGAGGCTTTTTAAAAGGCAGCCTTCCCCTGGGGAAGTGCTGGGCTTCCCAATCTGGCACCCATGGGGTGCTGCCTCCCCGCAGCCATCCAGGAACAAGCGCAGGCAACCACCAAAAATATCAAAACCAACAGCAGCCCCTCGCACCTTGTGCGCCCAGGACTTTTTTTTCTTTAAGCTTTGCATCAGAACCTTCCCAGATACTCCTTAAATTATCCCAAAGGGCTGCGGACCATCCAGCCAGGACATCCCAGCATCCTGACGACAGCTACTCAGTGCACACCAATGATGAATCATCCCATACCGCTGATCACCGCTGACTTTTTCCCTTTAATAGTCGCAGTTTTAGCTCGGCAGAGGCCAGGAGTAGGTTTGCCAGTGCCTCTATGAAGAGGGTTTGTAGCTCGCTGGGTTTCGGCAGCATCTTGCCAGAGCCCGGCAGCCAGGTCGCTCGGCACAGCTGCGTTCCCTCCCCACCCTCCCTGAGCATCTTTCAGACGGCTTCGCTTTCCAGCCTCTCAGCTCCAATTAAAAACGCTGAGCTTTTTTTTTTTCTTTTTTTTTTTTTTTCTTTGAAACAAGGGGTTTGATGCTGCTATTCAGTGTAAATGGCTGGAATTTTGATCAAATAAGGACTTGCCGGTAATTTGTTTGGGGAAAACTCTTTTCTGCCTCTTCAAAACAAACTTTGGCGATGCCCTCAGCAGAGCACCGTGCTCCGGTGCATCCATAAATCCAGGAAAAAATTGACGGTGCTGAAGTATTGCACTTAAAATGCAGCTTGGAGCGCTCTGAGGGGCTGCAAAATAGGAAGCTGCCAGCCGTACCCCGCTCCTGCCCTAGCAATTTTTTCTCTAAATGGCCCAAATACAGCCCAAAAAGACACATCAGCGGGGGAGGGAAGGTGGGAGGGGAGGAGCAGCAGCTTGACCTAAATCCGGCTGCACATCGCCCGGAGGGCACAGGGAGCAAAGCACAGACCAAATGGAGCACGGCATTCGGGGGATTCCTCTTCCTTCGCTGCCTTGGGCTTGGCTTTGTACTAGATCTGGTTTTAGGAGACGAGGGACGCAGATCTGAGGCTCCCGGTCCCAGCTGGAGGCTAAACTGGCGTGCAGTAAGCCAGGAGAGGAGCCCCGAGGGGCTGCCTGCCCTCACCCGCTCCCCCCGGCTGCAGACCCGCTCCGGGGGATGGAGCAGAGAGCTGGGAAGCAACGGGAAAACAAGCCTGGCTTGGTTTTCCCTACTCCAGCCTCATCCTGGGAGCAGGGGATGCTCCATCTCGGGGGCAGCTCGTGCAGCCTTTCCCCATCCCTGTGCTGCAGCAATAACCTTCCAAGCGGTGTCGCCGTTTCTCCTCCTGCCCCCATTTTCTCCTGCACAGACAAACCCAAAAGGCTCTCGTCGGTGCCCGGGGACAGATTTCTCTCCCGGAGCTGAGAGGGGGCTGTTTTCCATCCCGGGGTGGGGGGGACACTTTGGTGCTCAGCCTGGCTCCCTTCCATATTCAGCTGCCTGTTTTTTTATGAACACAATTGCTTAATCGCCTCTACATTCATCATCATCTAATTATTATTTTTTTAAAGCTCATTTTTGCAAAGTAACCCTCTTGGTTTTTTGCTTAGTTGTTGTTGTGTTTTTTTTCCCTTCTCTTGTCTTCTCCGGTTTCCCTTCCCGTTACGGTAGACTGACCCTTGGTTATCGTTGTAGAACTACGGCAGCGGCATGAGACCTCCACCCAACTCCCTAGGTCCCGGCATGCCTGGAATTAACATGTAAGGCAAACCCCGTGCCAGGGATGCTTGGCCACGGAGCCGGGCTTTGCGGGGCCGCGGGGCTGTCCGTGGGGAGCAGGCTTATGGGGATGATGGATAAAAGTACATCTTGTATTTTTCCCTATTTAATTTTGACCCCAGGGGGCCGGGAGCTGGCAGACCGTGGCCGAACCCCAGCAGTGCTAACTCAGTGAGTATCCCGCAGTCCTTGAAGCCAGAGTGGGGCTGGTGGGGAATGTCCCGCAAACGAGGCCGTTCCCCATTAGCTGAATCCTGCTAATGAGAGGAGGTTCTCCGGCCTCTTGTTTAGGCACTGCCCCTGCATCTAAAGCTTAAACACTGCTCCCATGCTTCTGCCCCTGTGGTGGGGTGCAGCTGCAGGGGCTGGTGGGCCCTGGGATCCCCAGCCCAGCTGGGCTGGGGGGTGGTAGGGGCTCTCGGCTGTGCCCTGCTGGGGTCCAGCCCACGGGATTCCCCGTGCACCCCACGGCTGAACCCAGCTCTCTTCTCTCTATAGATCCCATACTCTTCTTCATCACCTGGTACATACGTGGTGAGTCCTCCTGCTCCGTCTGTCCATCCTGTCGTTGGGGTGCAGAGATTTTAGGGCTCGGGGAGCTCGTGCAGCCTGGGGGGGAAGCGGTGCTGTGGGGGGGCCAGGCTGGGTTTGGGGGTGCAAGGTCCAGCCGGGGGAGGCGTTTGAAAACATGGGGAGGCGGACGATGCTCAAGTTTGCGCGGCTGAGCCCCGCTTCGTCTCTCCGCAGGGTCCGCCCGGCGGCGGCGGTCCTCCGGGGACACCCATCATGCCCAGTCCTGCAGGTATGAGCTCCCCCTCATCCCCCCTCGCCGGGGCCAGCCCGCTGGGGCTCCTGGCCCTTCCCTGCCGGGAGACTCATAGCTGGGGCTGCACCGCCGAGCACGGGCAACCCCTGCCCACCCTTCGATAACGAGCTTGGGTAGCTTTTGCCCTTCTGGGGAGCGAGCGGCATGGGCTGCTTGGCTTTGGGATGGCATCTGGGGATGTTCCTATACCCCCCTACGGATTCAGATGCTGTGGGGCTCGGGGAGGAGGGGAGGTGAGGAGTGCTACACGGCGGGGAATTACCTCCCTGTGCTTCTCAGCCAGGAGTTGAATTATTTTTCACAGTTGAATTTCTGTGATTAAAAACTTTGTGGATCTTCATTAAATACAAATTAGCCAGAAAATGGTGGTACTTAGAGGGAATTTTAGGTGATAAAATACAAAAGAATGAGTTCAAGTGGCATGAGTTTGTTTTAATTAAGAAATGAATTAATCACCCGACTTACTGGGCTTCACTGTTCCACAGATTCAACAAATTCAAGTGACAACATCTACACAATGATTAATCCAGTACCGCCCGCAGGCAGTCGATCGAATGTAAGTCTGCTTTCTAATAATTTACATATCAGATACCATAACAAATCATAATTAACTTCATCAGTTGAGAGTAAAGCAGTTTAATTGATTTCAGCCATTTGTTACAAAACAGAAATAAAACAAACCATCAAAAAGCGATTAACTCTTCAGCAACTTTGTTAATTTTTTATGCTTATTAAGACAGTGGCAGTCCTGCTGCTCCGGCCGAGGTGCTGGCAGCTGCGTGCCCCGCCAGATACTGTGTTTTGCGGGACACGGGCAGAATTAAGTCTCTTTAAATACTAGTTGAAGCAGCCCTCTGCGCTGCCATGGGTCTGGGTCTGCCCGCACCCATCCGGCCAAATTCTATAGGTGAGCCCACAGGACCGTCCCGGCAGCGTGGGAGGTCGGATGGTCCCTCCTCTGGCCCCGCTCCGGAGGGGTGGCTGGGGAGAGGACGGTCCCCGGGAACCGCCGAGGCCGTGCCAGACATATGGGGTGGTTTTGTGGCTGATTTTGGGTTTGTCGCCTTTTTCTTCCGCAGTTCCCGATGGGCCCCGGCTCCGACGGCCCCATGGGCGGCATGGGCGGCATGGAGCCCCATCACATGAACGGATCGTTAGGTGAGCGCCCGCACCGGGGGCTGCGGCTCGGGGAGCCCCGCTGTGCCTTCGCTCCCCGGGGACGCTGGCAGAGCATCCCAGTGCCTGGGTCAGCCCCCAGTTCGGACCAGTGCTTGAGGCA